CTTAAAAATCCGTCTTGACTGGGAGACACACGCCAGACAGCCTGCGAAATAAAAAGAGAGAAAAAAACCCGTGAGATTCCAGGGCAGAGAGATGGACTCATAATTAAACTAACAGCGAGAAGAACGAAATGGCGACGAGAGGAGAGGAAAGGAGAAGAGCAAGGACGAAGGAGGAGAAGAGCAAGGAGGAATAAAACGGCGGGGAAGGAATAACGCTAAACAATCCCTAAACCAAGCATTTTGAGAAGTCTCTCCCGTCAGGTCGATCCATAAGGAGGAGAGAGAGAGCAAATGGATTGTGGATTGCGCGCCCAGAGCCTCTAAGTGTGTCCAATCTAAGCCTGGATAAAAGAAAACAGATAAAAGTGCCGCGTTGAAAGTGTGTATGAATGCTGCTCTGATCTCACTCTCTCTCTCTCTCTCTCTGTCTCTCTGTCTCTGTCTCTGTCTCTGTCTCTGTCTCTCTCTCTCCTTCCCCCCCACCCCCTCCCTCTTCCTCAAACACATACAAAAGCTTCTATTTCACACATGAATGTTTTCTTCTCAACAACGCTATTACCCTGATCGCACCCCATGTACAATGCCCACATATTACTGGACAAAAATAGCTCTCCAAAAACAAGCTCTACGTGCATAACCACAAATAAAAAACTCCTAATACAGTAATTTCGACCTCAGCAGAAAAAAACAATAACAATGAGATTACTGTGTCGAGCAGGTTGCATTACAGCCTCACCTCCCCCCCTCCCCTCCCACCCCACCAATAGGCTCGCACGACACTGAGATCTCATTTCTCAGTCGATCGGGAACTAATCGTCAAATTCTTCGCTTCTCCTTTCTGTTTCCATGTCTTCGTTTACCTTGTTTTCTCCTTCCCCTTTAACCGCGTACATGTTTCCTGTTCTTTTTATTTTTTTTTCATTTCCTTGTTCTCTTTCCCGCTTATATTGTTGTTGTTCTCTCGTTCTTCATTCCTTGTTATTTTCCCGTGTCCGTTTCCATTTTCTTGCTCCCTTGTTCCTTTCCTCTTTCCTCACTCCTCATTTTGTTCCCTCATGACTCAATTCCTCGCTCCTGTGCCTCTTCTATTTCCTGATTCTCTCGTTCCCTCGATTTTTGTGTCCTTGCTCCTCGTTTCCTTCACTCTCTTTCCCCACCGTTCATTCCTCCTTTCCTTCCACCTTTCCTTCCACCTCGTTCCTCATTCACCAAACCTTTTTTTTTCTTTTTTCTTTTTTTTAAGGGGGGAGGGGAGTGAAGGTGAAAAGTCAGCCAACTCGTCCGGCCATTTGTCAGTCGTGAATAAACAAGCCCGCCGAAGGTCTCCATCGCGCCAACGCCGAGGGAGTGTCGCCGCCCACGGAACACCGCGTCCTTGCATGACGAGCGGAGTGCACAGCCACGAAGACATGCGATATTATTTCCTGGGAGATACGGATTCCTTGATATTCTCCTTGAAATCAAACGACTGGCTATCTTGCGTGATTTTCTGAGAAGTGCGGTTGTAAAAACAATGGGGAAAGTCTATGAAATGGGACGATTTTTTGGGGGGTCACTCTGCACCATCGCCTTTACTGGATGCATTTTCAGATTACTAAAATCAATTGAATGTATGATGGCGAGACCATATTGAAGAGTGAACCTCTCTCTTCTCTCTTCTGTATATCTGTTTGTTTGTCTGCCTGTCTGTCCTTCTGCGTCCCTCCCACTCTCTCTCTCGCTCTCTCTCTCTCTCTCTCTCTCTCTCTCTCTCTCTCTCTCTCTCTCTCTCTCTTCCTTTCTCTTTCTCTCTCTCCATCACTCTCTCTCTCTCGCTATCTATTACTCTCTCTCTCTCTATCCATCTCTCTCCATCCACCACTCTCCCTCTCTCCCCCCCTCTCTCTCTCTCTCTCTCTCTCTCTCTCTCTCTCTCTCTCTCTCTCTCTCTCTCTCCATCACTCTCTCTCTCTCTCTCTATCCATCACTCTCTCTCTCTCTATCTATCTATCACTCTCTCTCTCTCTCTCTCTCCATCACTCTCTCTCTCTCTCTCTATCTATCTATCACTCTCTCTCTCTCTCTCCATCACTCTCTCTCCATCACACACACTCTCTCTCTCTCTCCATCACTCTCTCTCTCTCTCTCTCTCTCTCCATCACACACACTCTCTCTCTCTCTCCATCACTCTCTCTCTCTCTCTCTCTCTCTCTCCATCACTCTCTCTCTCTCTCCATCACTCTCTCTCTCTCTCTCTCCATCACTCTCTCTCTCTCTCTCTCTCTCTCTCTCTCTCTCTCTCTCCATCACTCTATCTCTCTCTATCCATTACTCACTCTCTCTCTCTATCCATCACTCTCTCTCTCTCTCTCTCTATCCATTACTCACTCTCTCTCTCTATCCATCACTCTCACTCTCTCTCTATCCATCACTCTCTCTATATATATTCATCACTCTCTCTCTCTTCTCTATCCATCACTCTCTCTCTCTTCTCTATCCATCACTCTCTATCTCTCTCTCTCTATTCATCACTCTTTCTCTCTCTCTATCCATCACTCTCTCTCTCTCTCTATTCATCACTCTTTCTCTCCCTCTATCCATCACTCTCTCTCTCTCTATCATCTCTCTCTCTCTCTCCCTCTCTCTCTCTCTCTCTCTCTCTCTCTCTCTCTCTCTCTCTCTCTCTCTCTCTCTCTCTCTCTCTCTCTCTCTCTATCCATTACTCTCTCTCTCACTTTCACTCTCACTCTCACTTTCATTCTCTCTCCCTCTCCTTCTTCTCCCTCTCATCCTTTTCCCACTCCTTCTCCTTCTCTCTCTCCTTCTCTTTCTCCCTCTCCTTCTCCGTCTCCTCCTTCTCCCTCTCCTTCTCTCTCTCCTTTTCCCTCTCCTTCCCCTTCTCCCTCTCTCTCTCCTTCCCCCTACCCCCCAAAGCCTCCCCCCTTCCTTCCACCCTTCCTCTCCCTGTCTCACAAAGAAAAATCATTATCCACGTGTGAATCCCAGCACTGTTCTCGTCACTGGAGAGTCCCCCAAGCGTTCTTGTTCTTGTTCTTTCTCACTGACTTAGCGAGAGAGAGAGAGAAAAAAAGGCGTATTTCCCCTGCTAGACGTTTCATCAATCCCACGGAGATGAACACCTTCAACGCGGTATTATATACATTTTTATAACAAGAATTCTCCACACGTTATCCATCGAAAAATATCCATCTGGCCGACGTCTGCTGCCTTCCCATCCTCCGGAGCCTCGCCCTGATTAGCTCCTCGCGTGCGTATGACGTCTAACAGCCCAGCAAAATAATGATGAGAAATCTTGGGCTTCAGAGCGATCCCTCGAGCTAACTACAAGCTCTTCCCGATGGCCCAGTCGTGACGAGGTAGACGGGGAGGAGCACGACGTAAGGACGGTGCGAGTGTCTAGGTGTGCGTGCATGGTGTGGTTGTTTCTCAATGTGTGAGTGAGTGAGTGAGTATGTGAGTGAGTATGAGTGTGGGGAAAAAAGCAAGATATACGGCTATTGAGAACGTACTTGCCGAGTGATTTCTGTGCCTGCTCAAGATGACGGACAGCAATCATCACACTCTGAACTCACCGATGCCATACCCCTCCCTCCGCTTGCCCCAACTCCTCACACGCACTTCACTGCCAGTCCCACTCCGAAATCCGCCCCGCACTGTACACAGCACCAACCCTCCAAGAGGGCTGTGTAGTATAACTTGGAGGAGCTCACGACGAGAAGATCCTCGAGCGCTGCAACCGTCGCCTCCGGCCTCCCTGCCTGCCTGTCTGCGGTGCCGGCCGGCCTTCAGAAACAGTGTCTGCGAGGTTGACTGACGCGCATTAGATCAGCAACGATTTTCCCGATCATGGAAATGGTCAGGCGACCCGCGACACTGTACATTGCATGGCCTGGGAGGGTTTCCGCAAGGCACTGGGAGCAGCTTGGGGTGGAGACTGTAGGTTTCAACAGACAGGTATATTTTGCCATGTATGTTTTTTCAACAGTGTGTATAAACTGGTGGGGGAAAGAGAGAAAGTGGGAAAGAGAGAAAGAGAGAAAGACAGAGCGAAGGAGAAAAGGAGAGAGGGAGAGAGGGAGGGAGAGAAGGAGGAGAGGGAGGTGAGGGAGAGGGAGGGAGAGGGAGAGGGAGAGGGAGAGGGAGAAAGGGAGGGAGGGAGGGAGGGAGGGAGGGAGGGAGGGAGGGAGGGAGAGAGAGAGAGAGAGAGAGAGAGAGAGAGAGAGAGAGAGAGAGAGAGAGAGAGAGAGAGAGAGAGAGAGAGGGGAGCGGGAGAGAGAGAGAGGGGAGCGGGAGAGAGAGAGAGAGAGAGGGAGGGGGAGGGAGAGAGAGAGGGGAGAGGGAGAGAGAGAGAGAGAGAGAGAGAGAGAGAGAGAGAGAGAGAGAGAGAGAGAGAGAGAGAGAGAGAGAGAGAGAGAGAGAGAGAGAGAGAGAGAATTTAATTGCCATTAACCGAAAAAAAACTGCAGAGTTCACGCATTCAGATTCAAGTCGTGAGCCCAAAAAGTGAGAGTGACATGCGACTCCTGCAGTTACCTCCCGCCCTCCCGGGCAGGTAAAACTGTCTCGCCAAGTCTAGGGAAACTTGGAGCGTCAGCCTCGCCATCCAACTTGGGCGAAGTCTCCCCTCGTTCGTCATTCACATGATAACACGGTAACTTTTAATCCGGGAAAAGTCAGCGGCGCCATCCACATGCCTTCACTCCTCGATCAGGCGAACGCCCCACCCAGGGGGGGCACGGCGATGGGTGGAAGAAGAGGAAGATGACGAAGGGGAAGGAGGGGGAGAGGAAGGGAGGGGAAGGGAGGAGGAGGAGGAGGAGGGGAGGGGGGGGAGGAGGAGAGAAGGAGGAAGACGATGAGGACTAGGGATAGAAAGGAGATAAAGAAAGAAGAGGAGACGGAGGAGACGGAGGAGGACCAGAAGGAGGATGAAGAAAGAAGAGTACGAGACGAAGGAGGCGGAGGCCAGGAGGAGGACGAGGAGGAAGAAGAAGAAGAGGAGGCAGAGATGGAGGAGAGAAGAGACGAGCCAAAAACGTAG